ATATATATATATATATATATATATATATATATATATATATATATATATATATATATATATATATATATATATATATATGTTTACTTTTTATTGAGTACTTGTTTTTAAAAAAAAAAAACAAAGATACGAAAGAACTTCGGATTATTTACCTAATGTGTTCTTTCCTATTTTTCTATGTATTTGCACACACACACACACACACACACACACACACACACACACACACACACACATACATATATATATATATATATATATATATATATATATATATATATATAATCTCCTGTAATTTAAAATTTAACTTGTAGTGATAGACAATATGTATAAAAGACAAAAGACAACAGGGAAACTGTTTTCCTATTGTCTTTTTTCCTTTATACATACATATATATATATATATATATATATGTGTGTTTGCGTGTCTATTTCATTAATAGAAATTTTTTAAAGCGATAGTCATTGAATTATTTTTTTTTATTTTTAAGTTTACTTTTCTTCTTTGCGTCAATGAGAACATGATCCAGACAGTCATTTCTCTCGTACATAAAAAGATTAAAAAAGAAATTGTTTATTACATTTAATCAGACTTTATATATATATATATGAAGAAGGCCGGAGCGTACAGCGGCCGAAACGTTGTAATAAATATAGCGACAAAGATGAGGACGATAGTAAAATGTAAATAGTATATATATATATATATATATATATATATATATATATATATTAAACTGAAAATGTATTAAATAATTGTCGGACTTAATACATTTCATTATATGTATAGAGAGAGACAACAGTCAGACTCTTTCGCAGCTTTTTTTTTTTTTTTTCGGCTAAAATTCAGATTGCTTCAAGCCAGAATCCAAACCCCAGAGACTTGGTATCAGTCAGAGATCCTACAAGCAAGCTATCGTCGCACAGCAGACCCTGAGGGAAATTTTTAACGTTTTTGCCCTACGAAAGAAGTCATGGGCTAGGCGAGCTCGATTCTAGTTGGAGAGCAATGCATTAGCAGCAGCAGCCACTGTTTATAAAATCCCCCTTCCTCTCCGAGAACTCAATCGAATTATTTCGATACCATAGTCATCCACAGACAGACTGTTTCGCTGTATCACAACTCATCAGTGTGGCTAAACATCCGATTGCTTCAAGCCGAGATCGAATATATATATATATATATATATATATATATATATATATATATATATATATATATATAAGTGGCTATATACGAGGGTTGTCTGAAAAGTAAGGAGCAAGCGGTCGTTGCTGCGTAAGAGCTTCACGTATTGCCCAAGACGGATAGCACTAAGGGACAGCAATTCTCCAATGACGAGACGTGAAGGCGGTAATGCTTTTACGGGACTAAAAGCAATCAATAAGCTTCTACGATGCTAATATATATATATATATATATATATATATATATATATATATATATATATATATATATATATATATATTTAAGCGTTTCACCCCAAGCAAGGCGAGAAGCCACTAGGACACAAGGGGTTACAGAAAAATTGGAGAAAGGATGAGGAGAAGAGTAGTGGATAGATCAAGACAACTGGAGATGTCGATTGACATTACATTTGAATAGTTGGAGATTATAGCTCCCAGGGAAACTGGAATAGGGAAGGGAGTTCCACAGGCGAGAGGTGCGAGACATGAAGCCATTGGAGTAGAAGAGACGGCTACATTTAGAAGTTTCGACAGTGAAGGGGTGAGAGCGGAATGCCAGCCTCGTAGGGCGCTTGAACTCATGAAGTCTGCCGAACGAGCGAATGCAGCTCCTCGGAGCAACTGCCATGAAAATATTTTTAAAACAGACAGAGAGAGGCGACGCCACGTCTGTGAGAAAGTGACTGTATACGAGATGCCAGAACAGGGCCAATTATATTGCATATCCGCCTCTGGAGCCTATCAAGAACCCTGAGGCAAACAGACCATATATGGCAGCAATACTCCATGCAAGGGCGAATTGTTATATATATATATATATATATATATATATATATATATATATATATATATATATATATATATTCAAAGGTGGAATTACGCGATTGTAAAAGACGATTATGTTACAGACTGGATTTAGAATCTTGTGAATAATCTGCTCATTTTTCACATGTTTTCTTGTACTTTGACAAGTATATATGTTTTACTATTTACATTATATAAATATATAAAAGAATATATTACGAGTTTTTATGATCAGTTTTTACGCAGTACAAAAAGGAGATCGTACTATACATAGGTAATTTTTTTTTTTTTGAAAAGGTTTCAAATCATGCACCGGTTGCACTATAAACAGGTATTTTTTTTTCTGGAGGGGTGAAAATTCATGCAAAAAATAAAAATTTAATAGCCTCTTTCCTTCTAACTCGTAGCTAGAGCTTCAGTGAAAAGTTAATGTCTGTTCTTTTTTTTTTTTTAATTATAACAGATTTAATAGTCAAAGCACGCAAAACCTACAAAAATGAACACAAAGACCTCAGGACTTCCGATTTCTAAATTTAGTCCTCTAAGTTGTCTATTTTATTCCCAATTGTAGCTAGTGCACCGTTGAAAAAGTAATACCTGTTCTTCTTCAATTAAAACATATATCTGCCTACATTTCTGAGATGAGGTATTATGTACACTATTTACATTATTCGGACTATTGTCCTCATCTTTGTTGCCATATTTATTACAACGTTTCGACCCTTCATTATCATTCAGTGGTTCGTGGGAAGAACCTGCTTGTGTGGAATTTACTTCTCACCAATGGAATACGGAGGGAAATGTGGGTGGTTTGATATAATGGGCGTAACATGGCGGGTCCGAGCCGTGAAGGCTGGAATTGACGGAACCAAGAAATGAAATTTGTTCAAGCGCTTACCATGAAAGTAACGAGAGAGTAGTGTTAGGCTGGCTACATCCCGTCTGTGAGAGAGGGGTCTGCAGGTTGGAAAATAATTTGTCAGCCACAAGGAAACGGGGAGGCTCTTGGACTCTATCGAGACAGTAAAGTAGTTGTTCAATATTGTCTACCTATCTTAAGATTATTCATAAGAAAAACCAACAAACTTGTGGCAAGTGCTAATCATTTTATAGTTGAAATAGCGAGATGAAAACCGTAAATTTTATGCTAACAGTTTCTTCTCTCGCACTTCTCCCCTGTGGGCCTCTCTTCCTGCTTCTTGCTTTCCAGTCAATAAATTTAATAAATTCAAGGGAGATATTCGAACGACGTGCATTCTTCATCTAAATTTGCTATTCACATTTTTTTTTACAGTGAGGTCCACCCTTAATAAGGCCCGAGAGTCACTCGAACTTGAGAGTTACAGAGTAAGAAGAACAGCTTATGCAGCTACGTGGGGAAGATAACGGTTAACTCTAGACTTGAACAGGTTCAGATTGTAGTGATCAGGAAAACGACCTCTTGAGAGTCGCTTACACAGAGCATTGGTTCGCGGGAAGAACCTGCTCAAGTGAATCTTACTTCTCACCAATGGAATACGGAAGGTGGTTCATTACAATGTGCGTATCATGGCGGTTCCTCGCCATGAAGGTTAGAACTTGTGAAACTGAGAAAAGTAGTTCTTCTGAGCATTTTCTATGGAAGCAACGATAGAGTAATGAGAGGCTTACGACATTTCACCCGTGAGAGAAGGGTTGCAGGTTATAAAATAATTTGTCACCCACAAGGACTCGGAGACGCTTTTGAACTCTATCGAGACTTTTAGGCCTGATCTGGCTCTTGTAAAAGTAGAGGATAGCACAAGGGCCGGGTACTTAGTGAAGCGGTACAGGCAACCGACCATTTTTCCTGCATCCTTAGCGATGGATCGTATGTACGTGTTCAACTTGAGATCTTGGGTGAGTCTAAGGCCCAAGAGCCACTTAAGGTCCTTCCCGAAGGGACATCCATTCATCGTGACTGGTGGTATTCCGGGATCCGATCGGTGAGGATGGAAGAGTTCAAAAGCGTCTACGCGTCCTTGTGGGTGATAGATTATTTTCCACCTTATAAACCCTTTCCCACAGATGAGATTTTGAAAAACTCTCGCTAGTTTATCGTTATTTCCACGGAAAATGTTCAGGCGAACTACATTCTTCAGCCCGAACCACCGTCATTCCCTTCGTATTTCATTAGTAAGGAATACCTTCCACTCGTCTTCCCAAGAACTATTGCTTTGTGGAACTGAATCCCGCGAGGATGCTTTCCCGACCGCTACAATCTTAAGCTCCTCATGTCTAGGGTTAATCGTTATCTTTCACAGATATCCTCATAAACTTCCCCCCCTTTACTTTTATGGCTCATGCAACAACCGCTTTTAACAATCCTCTACCTTGAGTGACTCTTAGGCCTAGTATAAGGTGAACATTAATAAAATTAGCATTAAGGGACAGACATAATTATAAAAACGATTTTCAAGTTAAAAAGAATTTCTCATCCGTGTGTGAGAGAAAGAAATTAAAACAATCGATCTCCCTATAAGAAAGACAGCGAATGCTGGAGAATCTCATCACAGATGAAGAAAAGATTTGAGGCAATAGAAACGTGGTTCTACAGAAGGATGCTGAGGATACCATGGACCGAACATTTCGGCATCAACGAGGTTTTGGAAAAAATAGAAACAAAAAAAAAGCCAACATATGCATAATATCAGAAAGAGACAGTAGAAATTTCTTGAGCACATAATGAAGAAAGAGGGCTTGGAAAAATTGACACTCACAGGGCATTTTGAAAGCAAAAGGAACAAAGGAAATCAGCGTATAACCTAGTCTGTGTAAATGGTTGGCAGAACAAGGATTAGGAGAGATAGAAAAAAGATGTACTTTATTAAGGAGAGGAAATTGTGGAGAGTCATGATCGCCAACGTTCTAAAGGGACACGGTATATAGAAAAAGAGGAATGTTGAATGTACGTATACGAGAGAAAGTATATGTTTTAATTGTTGGTGGTGAATTTGTTCCTATATAAGTGCGTGGGTTTGCGCTGGGTAAATATGTTTTGTTTATCTAATTCGTTAAATAATTTGCGATACTACCGACGACTTTATCACTTCTGGTGTGTCGGTCCGTCCTCCAGTCCGACCGTACTTCCTTCCTTTCTTTCTTTCTTTCTTTCTTTCTTTCTTTCTTTCTTTCCAAGATTCAGTATTCTTTCTTTCAAGCAAGCGCTCACATCTAATTCTGCGTAGCCTATATATTTCCTCTCGCTTACTTGTTTTTCCTCCGCCCCGACATTTTACCGACAATCGCTTGTAGGTGTGTGAATGAACCTCTCTCTCTCTCTCTCTGTCTCTCTCTCTCTATATATATATATATATATATATATATATATATATATATATGTATATATATATATATATATATATATATATATATATATATATATATATATATATATATATATGTGTTGTATTTGCATAAATATCAGTTTCCTCATCATCTGTAGTTCACTTCATGAACTCCCTAAAAACAAACACGCACAAACACAGAGGCATGTACACACACACACACACACACACACACACACACACACACACACACACACACACACACACACACACACACACACACACACACACAAACACAAACAAAAAACAAAAAACACACACACACGGGCATAAATACATATATATATATATATATATATATATGTATATATATATATATATATATATATATATATATATATATATATATATATATATATATATGTAAATAGTTTTAAAACAAGGAATGTATTGATTTTCATTTTAAAAGTCTCTAAGGCCCTTTCAACCAACATCTCATCAGGAGACAATCGTTGGATCAACGAAAAGAATATATATAAATATATATGTGTGTGTGTGTGTGTGTACGTGTGTACGTGTGTGTGCGTGTATATATATATATATATATATGAAGGTTATTTTATTGGCTACTCGTATTTAAGTAGACGCTCCGTTTTTTGTGGGGTTGGGGTTTGTGGGGTGGTTTAAACGGTGTTTATTTCGTCTACCGGCCTGCGCCCTCAAGAGAAACTTGATAAAGAAACATGGCAAGATTTGAACCTTCGACCGAAAAACAACGGTCTGATCCGCCGTATGTTTACCGCTCGGCTACATTTCATATATATATATATATATATATATATATATATATATATATATATATATATATATATATATATATATATATATATATATATATATATATATATATATATATATGTGTGTGTGTGTGTGTGTGTGTGTTCTATATATACAAATATACAAAGGATTATAAATTTAGATCCTTATATCAGATTGCATATATATTTATTTTTATTCATAACTTATGCACACACACACAGATGCACACATATTGAGTGGCGGCTAAATGTTATTGTATATGCTTATATACTCAGAACATGAAAGCTGAAAATATTGTGCGTTTGTCGCTCGGCATGTGTGTGTTAGATATAAAGAGTGCAATATAAATATATATTTATATATATATATATATATATATATATATATATATATATATATATATAAGATTATTTATATCTATATATCTATATATATATTGATAGATAGATAGATAGATATGAAAAAGGCAGTATAGATAGATCGATATGAAAATGGTATATATGAAATAGATAGATAGATAGATATAGGGAGAAAAGAATTTATAAAGCAAATATACCACGTTCGTCCGGAAATTATCCAACTATTTTGAATATCTTAGAATTCGTTCCAAACGGCTTTTCTTTTGTTTTCCTTTTCTTTTCTTTTTTTCAATGGTTAAAGGCGAGAGAGTGACGAAACAGCTGATAATTTTCCTAAAACCGTGGCTTAGCAGACTGCTTTGAAAGCAGAAGAGAAGTTGCGCAGAAGCATGTGCGCTGCTAAGGTATCTGCGCAACTTTGTTTGAAGTGAAAAAAACGTCTTAATAAATATTTTCAAGAGAGATCTCGTTAGAATTTGCGGTTTGGGTCGTGGAAACATGCATGTGTATGTGGGTGGCACTTCGACGTGGCGTAATGGTTGGTAAGGTTGACACGCTAGATCAATCATGAATGAGTAATGAGTTCGATACTCACTGAGTACCCCATAATTTGGGCTTAGAAATATATATATATATATATATATATATATATATATATATATAGTAATGATACAATATGGTAATCTGTTTGGAATTTCCAAGAGGATATAGATCCAGGGAGAGCTCTAAGTCAAAAGACAGAGAAAAATTATTATTATTAATTAAAGAATATCAAACATTTACACTCCCATAATAATTGTTATTTTATAAGAGCTCTCAATCTTCAATCTTCTTCAACTTGTTTGTAGTTCTTGATCTCTCATGAAATAAAAATTAATACCTATGGGATTTTAAGTGTTTGATATTCTTTAATTAATAATAATAATAATAATAATAATAATAATAATAATAATAATATATATATATATATACAGGGTCATTGAAAATTAACTCCCCATTTTAAAATAGTTGTAATTTGTTTATTACAA